AAATACATATTAATCATCACTAATTCTCACCTTGGCTCTCCTTTAATTAGATGTATATTCATATCCAAACCCATGTATAATAGAGCAGTGGCCCTCAGACTACATGTGGTGAAGGAGAGAACTTTTTTTAATTGCCAATCTTTTCTAAAAAGATAATATCATAAAATACAATAAAATCCAATTAATAGGAAATGTAAAAATAAACAAAATATAAGCCCAGAGATTTTATCATTATATTCAACAAATATTTTTAAAAACACTGTTAAATTTCTATAGAAGTTTATAAATGTTCACACACATTTCTGTACTTGCTTTATTGCAGAGGGGAAATAAAACTTGTAGACAGGCACGTGTTCCTGGATCATACTTTAGGTAGTTCTACTATGGAGAGTGTATATTTTACTATTTTTCTTTTGAATAAGATAAACCTATTTGTAAAATATTCAAATGTTCATTGATGTGGTTATGTATATATACACACGTAACAATATATACACACGCATATATATTGGGCTTAATAAGATATTTGTGTTACAACAAAGGTATGAACCATTGAGTCTGAAATGTCCTTAAAGTGGAGGATGAGGCGAAGCTGACCAACTGCTTTTGAGACATCACTAATCTCTACTTTGATGCCTGAGTATCTGCCAAAGAAAGAAATGTTTTGCATATTACTGTATACATTTGTTTTCTGGTGACATTATTTACCCAAATAATCCAGAAATGTGTAAAAAACTCATGGCACCACTTTCTCTTGATTTTGTTACATACGTACAGTTTTATTTCACTCACATAAAGCAATATCAGTGTTACATTTTTCTTTTAGGCAATGTTCTGTACAGTGAGTCTATTACCCTACACACGTCTGAGAAGTGTACCTGTGAGAAGCTGATGTGTGACAAAACACATGTGATCTTAGAGCTCAATTTTTACTCATCACACCACCCACTCTGATACCCTCATCCCATTCTAGCCCTTTCTAGGGAGTTTATAACAACATTGAGCTTTGGTTTTCTAGGGGGATAATTGGCAATCCAGAAAAGCCAACCCAATTTCTATTTTGTTCGCTGTTTCTTTAATTGATGAGTGAGGCTGAAAAGGTGGATACAGGTTGCATAAAGAGGTGGAAAGATTCATTTTGAGTGGCCATAGATTTTTTGGTACTTTTAAAAAAACTTTTAGAAATCTGCTTTTGTTTTTCTTTACCTTTTGCTCCTTTTAATTGTATTTGTTGCGTCTTAGAGATTCGTCACCTCTGCTAGGGTGTAGGTTATATAAATCCTTGCCGCTTTTATCTACATATTTTTTAATCTGTAGGTATAGGGGTAGATAAAAATCAGCAGTATAAAATACATATTTTCTGTGTTTAGTTGAATGGGTGATTCAGTGAAGCTGGTAATTATCTGTATCAGTTATCAATTGCCTTAATGATACTGTATAATGAACCACCACAAAACCTGGTATAAAACACTAAGTGTATGTATATTACTTGTGAAACTAAGACTAAGTGGGGCTTGGCTAGGTAGCTCTGTAGGCCCCAGCAGGACTTGATCACCTCTGTGAATAGGTTATTTTTCCACTGAATGTACCTGGCTCTGCTCCCATCTCTCTCCTCCTGCCAGGGCAGCCCAGGCAGGTTCTCAGGACAGTGAGGAGGCCCAGAGAGAGGGCAAACCCAGCTGCACAAGCACTTGTGAAGCCTCTACTTTCTTCATTATTATTATTATTGTACTTTAAGTTAGGGGATACATATGCAGATCGTGCAGGTATGTTATATAGGTATACACGTGCCATGATGCTTTATCTTTGTTCTTAGCGAGAGAATGCTGCAAATTACATGGCAAAGGTCATTGGTTAGGAGGAGGATGAAGAATTAGGACCATTTTTGCAATTGATCACGTATCTTACAAAGTAAATTCTTTCAGTTTAACAATCTGATAAATGAGTAGGAATTGTTAAATGATTATATGTATCTTGATGAAAGTAACGTCACTGGGCAAGTTACTTAAACCTTCTGTGCCTCGGTATTTTCATTTCTAAAATGAGGATAATAATAGTGTCATCCCACAGGATTATAGTGAGGTTTAAATTAGTTGATTGTGTACTGTTTAGAGTAGTGCTCAGTATAGAAATATGCATAGTTTAAATGTTAACTGTAGTTATTAACATCATTATTATGAATCGAGGCAATCACAGTTACTACTGACAAATGTGTAAAATGATATATGCTTGTCTCAATACTTCCTTGAGCGTATTTATTTAGTGAATTTTTGGCTAATATTTATAGCACTGGTACCATCTGTTCAACTTACAAGGATTATTATTTTAGGAGTTTATACATGTCTATATTCCAGAGAAAAAGATTTTACATTATAGAACTAATTGGGACATATTTTTACTTATAATCTTAAAATGTCTTACTTATACTGTAAATACCGCCGATTTTTCTTTCAATTTTCTTGCTTTTATAAATTTTGTACTAATGTTAAGAAATGGTAGCAAACTTATGAGTAATGTCAGTTTAATTGGTGTTTCTTAAAATGTTATGATCATTAATTGATTTGTATTATGTAGTAATGAGAATATATGCCAATGCATTCCAATCTTTAATGTGCGTATGGTCACCTGAGACCTTGTTAAAAATGCAGATTTTGATTCTGTGGGTCTGATGTGGGCCTGGGATTCTGCATTTCTAACAAGCTTCCAGGTGATGAAGTTGCTACTGGTCCCTGAATACCACATTTTAAGTGTACATGCACGTGTGCACACATGCGCATATACACACACACACAGACAGCTCCTTATGTATATTCAAAAATTATGTACATGTATATATAATACATATTTTAAAATATATAATACATATTTATATTGAATAAGTGAAATATTAATCATTTGATATTTCATTATTAAATGTTATAAAATGTAATATATAATGAATCAAAGTAACATATATTTCATATATAATTGTATCTAATGATGCATTAATCTCTAAATGTTGAGAAATATCTTTACTGACAAAAAAACCTTTAATTTACAATTTTGTTTCCCTGGAAACTACTGAAGTAACAGCATTTGGCCCTATAAATATAAGTTGCTGTCGAGACTGCTTTGTTGGTAGAAATATACTTAAATTCCCTGGGTCCTGTAATCAGGATAAAAGTTGTCTCTTAAACTCGTGTATAAGAATTATTACACACACAACTAACTTACTATTTTTTTTCTTCTGTGGCCATTAGTCACAACCCAATATTATAAATATTTGATTATATACAACTTTATATAAATAAAGTACATTAGTCAACTTAATTTTCTCCTTTTGAGTGTTAACCACAAATATTTTGTTTCAACTTCAGGACTGCAAAATCTTTCTAAAAGGTCGCAGTATTCTTTTTTAATAAGTAATCTTAAGAGTGCTTTGCATTTTTATTTTTTTAAAGAAATGGGTAGTGTCAGAACAGTAGCATTAAAGAATACAATCGATTTTAAAACGGTAAAAGATGAAAGAGATTGGGATAAATCTCTGCTGAGCTTAGGATAAACTAGAGACAAAAATCCTCAAAAAATAGAAAAGGGAAAAAAAAATTGAGAATTCAGATTAACTGGCTCTGAACATTGGAATTCCCATCCAAAGGTATGTCCGATTAAGTTGAAATCTATTAAGAATATTTAAATAAAAGCCTTGTTCATGATAACAATCAACATTTGAGTTGCACTTTCAAACTCAATTTATAGTTGTAGATATAATTACAGATTACAACTTAATCTATAGTTCACAAATTATTTTTCACCTCTCTTACTTGACATTTGTAAGAAACCTCTGTTATTTAATGTTATACTCAAAGTACTTGGACTTTGAGACCTCCTCCTTTTTTTAAGTTTAAGCCACCTCTGAGGTTTAAAGTTGTCTTTAACTTTACTGCCAAAAAATCCTTTAATTTACAATTTTTCTAAGGAGCCCAGAATAAGGATCGCTATTGAGATGTTAATGAGAGGGGACTGAATTTTTGGATGACTCTGGAATATAGAGGTTAGCAAAATATTAGTAGCTATTATTTATCATGTATTTATCATATACTGTTTGTTACTGTGTGTCTAATATCATTTCTCTGTTTTATCTTTTTATTTTGGAATTGTCTAGTACTCTTAAAAAATTTAGTAAATGTGTTCAGAATGCACACTTTATAGTTTTCCCCTAAATGATGTCGGTGGGCAAACTTGAAGACATTCACAAAAACATAATTTTCATTTAGTCTTGGATAACACTAAGGTGACACAGTAATTAAGTGGAATTGGTGGGCTAATTCCTAATGGAAGCCTGGGCTCATAACAGAACATAAAGAATTTTCCAAGGATGAAATGCTGGTGAAGCTTCTTCTTCAAGTTGTATATGTTTGTATATGTGAAAATAGGTACAATCCAAGTTTAACTCAGGAATACTTAGCTCCTTAGGAATTTGATATTGGGTTAATAACTCTTCCCTCAATTACCTAGGTTGGAAAGTCCTCAAATTTTATCTTAGATCAGGATTGGCAAACTTTTGGCAAAGGACCATGTAGTAAACATTTTAGGTTTTGTGAGCCATAAGATCTTCTTGACCACTCAGCTCTGAAATTTGTAGTGTAAATGCAGACACAGACAATACATAAACAAATGAAAGTGCCTGATTTCCAAAGAAATCTTATTTACAAAAACAAGTGGAAGCTGTGCTTCGCCTGAGAGCCAGTTTGCCAGACCACTGGGTTAGATTCTCAAGGTCACTTTCAATTCTGAGGTTATGGTTTTGCCAAATTATCTGAGTTATTCATTCCTCATGAGTTATGGAGGGAGAGCTCCTTTCATCCTGAAACCAGAACTCTCTCTTTGTACATGCAAATGGCCCATCAGGGTATTTTCCTAAACAAAGGCATTTCCCTCAGAAGAGGAATTCTGCTGCTACTGTTAAGATAGTAAGCGCACCACAGATGGTGCTTTCATTTCAAAAACAACCACAACATAAAAAAGATATAACGTTTCTGTTTAATTATTGCATTTTTTCTCTCCTATGACTTGATGATTTAGTTCGGCAGTGGTGCACATTAATATTCAGGCTTCTGCTGGAACTCATCTGTTGTTGATTTCGTTGTTGTGATGGTGATGATTCTAAACATAGGCAGGAGGCGAGATGAGAAAAAGATACGTCAAACTCCTCATCGATCTCCTTTTGGCAGATTCAAAGAGTTTCTATTTAAGCCTACATTTAAATAAGCATTTTCATATCATCACTGCCAGTTTTCGAGTGTTTCACTGGTACAATCATCGTATTAGCCAACTGTATGGAAACTATTAGACTAGGACCGCTTTGATAAGCAAAGCAGGGCTCCTCTTTCTTTGGTTCTTTTCTTGCTGCTCTACATTAGAGGTCTCATACTGAAGGCTCACAGGCTTCCTCGTGGCCCCTGGACCCACTCAATGTGGAAAAACAAAAACTAAGAAATAGTTGCCAGTGTTTAAAGGAGATTTTAAGTAGAACTTAGAT